AACCAAAACAAACATGAAAATCGCTTCAGCACTTGGACTTCCAGTCAGTCACGTAGTGAGGTCTGTTTGTTTACCGGCAGAAGCTTGACCTGTCCAATATGGCAGACAAGCAGACACGCGTCACATCACTGAACGCAGCTTCTACCGACAGGCACATTTTGAACAGCCACTGAACTAGTATACGAATTACTGATGAATACTGTGTCCCACTTCAGGGGTCGCTAATGAATTAGATTTGAATGCCTTTACTTGACTGCCTTTGATCCGCTTCTGCAGCACATCTTGGCGAAAGATGACTCAATCACAAAACAAAACAGGCAACTTGCTTCTAAGCAGCAAGAGACACTCACAATCAATTTGAAACAACCAGTCCCTGATCTTAAGGAATCTAGGATTTCTGCTGAAAAGACTCCTGATGCAGAACCTCAGCAGCATGGAGTCTCCTGCTGCTGAATCTCTCTGGCAGCGCTCTGGTAAATGGCTGAAAGAAACTTTGCCTACAGTTGGCATCTTCATTGCAAAAGCAACTATCCTGGGCTACAAACTGCAAACATATAACTATATAAACTCTGACTACAAACTGTCTACTACCAACAAGAGCTAAAGCCCTATGTCAACGTCCAGCATTTCATTATCCTTACTAAACAAGTCAGGATACGTGAACCAACACCAGAAAACACCTATGAAACTGAATGATGGCCTTTCACTAAATGTGAGCTGAGATAGGCTCATATTGGGTGAAAGAGTCAGTAGGTTGGATCCATTTGGGGCGGCAGTGGTGGTGGTGCAGTGGTTAGTACTGTTGCCTCACAAGAAGATTCTGGGTTCTACCCTGCCCACCAGGGCCTTACTGAGGAGTCTGCATGTCCTCCCTGTACCTGCGTGGGTTTTCTCCAGGTGCTCTGGTTTCATCCCACAGTCCAAAGACATGAAGGTTAGATTAACTGGTGACTCTAAATTGCCCAACTACGTATATACTACTGAATATTATTATTTGAGGTGGAATTGAATTTGTAAGATAAATTAGGAATTTATTAAGGTAAAACTAACAATTTGCTGAAAAAGATGAAGATTTTATTTACAATGGAAAATATAATACATTTATGGAGGCTATGCACAATGCAAACATGTAAAATACTGCATAACTGAAAAGCTGCTCATAAAGGTGGTAGTAGAAAGAATGGTGAGTATTAAGAGTACAAAAGTAATGATATATTGTAGGGGTCTGCAAAAGAATATGAATACGAAGAATATCAGAGAAAATAGTGCACATTTGTAAATGTAGTATCTGTATTTGTAGTGCAATGTATGACATGTATTTTATGTAGAGCTGAGGTAGATGACAAAACGTTTGTCATTCAGTTATGGTGGTGTCAGAAAGATAAAGCTGCGCAGAGGAGTCTCACAGCCTGAGGGAAAAATCAGCGGATGCCTCTGTGTTACTTGTCATACAGCAGCAGTGACAACAGACTGGAGTGGCTACTGTAGTTAATTTCAGTAGAGCTTCAGCTTCATGTTGTCACGGATACTGAGTAAATTTAACCACATCGGCTCTTACAAGTTTTTGCATCATGTAATATGTCAGTGCTTAATTCTATTATAATATATCTAATTTAAAACTAGAATTACTGCCTCCGCCACTCAGACTAGTTCTCGTTGTACTCATTTTTTTAGACTTTTTTTTGTGTGGAAAAGTATTATAACTTTAAGGTCTGTCTTTCACCTCTGATCTGCAGAAGCTTTATTTTATTCCTCTTTAGTTATTCTCTCTTATCTTTTTCTTTTGGTAATAATATATTAATGTACTTGACAGCAATGATTGATGAGTAACTTGCAATTTGTGGTTTAGTTAAGGCCTACTTCTGTTTTATAAACAAAACATACATGTACATTAAAGCACTCAGATAGAATAGATATGGGAATCCATTTGAAGTGATTGCAGCAGGTTTCAATCCAACAGTGAATGAATTTTAGTGCTGCAGCACAGATTGGGCCTGTATTAAGGAAGCACTCATCAAAGAAAAACATTTGGAGACCTTATTTCACAATTCTGACTTATTATGAGATTATTATTATTATGAGAAAAAGGTTAAGGTGGTTATCAGTCATTGCTATTTGAGAAGACAGGCTTATGGCACTGCCTGGTTTAATTCGCTTTTATTCCCTCCTTGGTTTGAGACAGTGGGAAATACTGATGTCAGTAAGTAATGTGGATATTATTATTAGGACAGTTTCTTTGTCTAACCTACATCACCTGAATATGAGATTAGCAATATAATTATTTGTTTTTTCCAACAAATAATTTTGGAAAATGTTATATTAAACATTAAAAGTCTTCATTTGTGTGAACAGATGTAAACTTTCACACAGTGGGGCAGATGGACAAACCAATCGTGCATTTTATGACTAAAGCATGGAAGCTTCAGCATATAGTCTTGTACCCCAAGGTGTTATTTGAGGCCTGGAGACAATTTGTATCTGACCTCAGGTGACCTTGAGCACAATACCTTCTATATACAGGCTTATCTGCAGCACTATGCCTTGGATTCAGTAAATAACACTGTGGGCCCCAACTTGAGCCCCGTTTTTTAAACCTATGTTTACATTTTAGAAAGTTGAGTATGCTGAATTAACTATTAACTATTCAATTTTTGGTGTGTGCCATTAGATCAACTGACAACTATCAAACAATTACTTTGATAGAGAAGGTATCTCAAAAACCTGACGATTCTCAGGCAAGTTCTGAACCTTTACCATTCCTGTCTTAGTCTACATTAGTCATAATTACGATGTAAGGGTCTCCAATTTTTTTTCATGTGAATGTATTGCGCTTATATGGGCTACTGTATAAACAATTACGATCTGTATAACGCACAATAATTGTGGTAGTGATTTATTTGGCTACTGTCCCTTTAAATTTTCCCATGATCCCTCGCTGTGTTTAACGTTTTAATTCAAGAACCAGCTTCTTGCAAACAACAACAGACGATCTTTATAAGACGAACCTGAGCTTTGTAAACTAACGGACACGTTTTATAACATTAACGTTACACTATGAAACTTTTTACACACCGTGATTGTGCAGCTGTGTCTTTTGTGGCCCTACATATTCTCTGTGTCTTCCGTTTCACATCCGGGCATTCAGAAGGCTTGCTCTCTGGGCTACATGCTGAGGACCTGGTTTCTCCCTTCGCCCAGGGGAAAGTCCCCGGACTCATGGCAGAAAGTGCCCTGGGTGAATCCAGCGTCGATGCGCGCCACACCGTATTCAAGCTGAGATGTTCATGTGAACTGAGCTTGGTGTTCGCTTGTCGACATTGTCAGCGTTAATAGTAATGCAAGTACGCAAATGCTAACGCCTAAACAGAACGGGGCTCATTCTCGGAATGCACATTTTACTATAGTAGCCTTCCTGTTTCATGCTGAAATTGTTATTAAGTCCCCCTCTCTTTTGTTAGCCTCTAATGTCGATGTATTGCACATGTTCTCTTTAAGCATAATTAGGCTACTATTCGAAAATTATTTATTTGATGTCAATAGTTGCAGTCAATATTAAATTATATACATGCTGAATTTAGGTTCCATTGGAAAAATAAGGCATACAATTCATTGTTATTAGAACTCTGAAGCTATGAGTGACCGCTCATTACAGATCAGTAATCTATGTCAAACTGGCAGCAATGATGAGTTTACAACAAAAGCCTCATAACAAATAACACAAACGCTTTACGCTTCACGTTTTACCCAAATCAAACCATTACTGACCTTTCTGATTTCATATGTGTCAAGAGTCTACACAGAATCATAACAAAAGACCAGGGCTGTTGTTATACTGACAACGAGACAGACCATTCCTCATAAGAACTGTGTTTTTATACACTATGTGGATAACCTCTCAAGTGCGAGTTTCAAATTTTAAACGTGTTCAGGTCGCCATCTAGTGGATAAAAATGTTACGTGCAGCCGTGCCACTAAATTCAGACTAATCCACCTGACACTACAGGCTACAATTTGAAAATAAAGCAGAAAACTCATGATAAATAATCTCACAGTCTTTTTTTTACTTTTTCTATGTGTAGTGCATCGAACCTTTTCATACCAGTTTCGAGAAAAAAACATAGGCTGCATGGTTTGATATTTCAGTAATTCATACATTTGAGATGCTTATATTGTGAAGTTATTACACTTATGGTAGTATAGGCTGCACATTTTTCAAATAGTTGATGAAACTTGAATTCTCTATAAACAGTGAGATTTACCAGCAAAATAGCCGAAATAGCAACCTGAGGAAATTGTAGTCCTGGGACCTGGCTGAGCACGTGCCTAACCCTGTCACCATGTATTTAGCCAATATGGTGGAAGCGGTGGAAAGAGTGCAAGGTGATACAGAAATATCATGTGCCTCCTCATTATTACCGCACTGAATGGGACCAGTAGGACTACAGTCGCTCTGTGGTGTCACCTTTCTGCATGACAGAGGGAGAACAAAGACACTTGTGTTTCCATGTTGACACCACTAGGGGGAGCACCAGCCCTGCAGCATCCTTCCCTAATACACTAACATAAGATAACACACAAACACCCTGTATGCCACTGGATTAGGCAGTACACAAGAAGATTATAGCGTCACATGGTGGCCATGCAAATGGTGCCTGGAGGTAACCTATTTCCTCCTTTTGAGATATCCCATCATTCATTTGGAGAGGGCGTAGGCTCACGCAGCAGCAGCATCACAAAGGTTCAGCTCCTCCCTGCTGTAGACAGAGGGGAGGGAGGGAGAGACAGCGAGAGGATCAGGGTCAGATGAAGTCTGAGTGACGAAGGCAGTGTGTGCAAATGAAGAGGAGAGTGTGTGTGCATGTGTGTGAGAGTGGACGAATCAGGGAAGGTTAGAGAGAGAGAGAGAGAGAGTGAGGAGGGGAGGGAGGGATTGTGTGTGTGTGTGTGTGTGTCTGTGTGTCTGTGTGTGCATGTGTGAGACAGAGATAGGAGGAAATTCAGACAGGAGGAGGAAGGGGACATAAAGGGAGGAAGGAAGAGGGGGCAGGAGGAAAAAGACAAGACAAGGGGACCCAGACTGAGAGGGAAGATGGCTGAACCGGAGCTGAAATCACGGAGCAAGGAGAGTGTTGCTAAGGCGGCGAGCCAGGAGAAGATGGGGGGTAGGTACAGTGCACGCTCACACTCCTGTAGATACCACATGGTGCACTGCTGCATTAATCCGCCATGCGCTCTGATGCAACAATGCCTGATGCAAGAGTACATACAGGCTGATGTAGCTATAGAGATACATCATGCTGTTTTGTGTGATGATGATGACAGGTGTGCAAGGTGACAGGTAAGGGAAAAGAACATATTTAATAAAAGGGCAGATTCTGTGTGACTCGCCCCTATAGTGGGCCCGTAAACACAATTACCTGACGTGTTCTGTGTTGACGGTAATGGAAGGAGGGGTAAATTAGAGAAATAAGGCGTCATTCTTGAGAAACCGGTTTTAATAGTAGCCCTGATGAGCCAGTGTGACCTGTTCTTAAACAGTCCTCGCTACAGATGTACTGAAATTCCTGCTCCAGTATGTAAACCACATGTATGCTTTGCTGCTGGAGACATGGACTGACATTAGAAAAAATGTCCCAACAGAGAGAAAGTCAAAGAACTTGATTTTTCTTCTCTCTTTTCTTATGAATACTGGCAAAACTAAATGATCGTACCACACATGTGAAACTCTCTTGTCCTCTCTCCTCCAGCAGCTGACGCTGACCCAGACCAAGATGGTCTGATTGTGGAGCAGCCAGCATCTCCATCTACCCCCATGGTCTCTGCTCCCACCGCCACAAGCCCCACTAATGGCTCACCTGCCAAAGGGGAGAAGATCGAGCTGAAACGCAGCATCACCCTCTTCAATGGTGTGGGAATGATCATAGGCACCATCATTGGCTCTGGCATTTTCGTCACTCCGACAGGTGTGGTCAAAGAGACTGGCTCAGCTGGGCTCTCCCTGATCATCTGGTCTGCTTGTGGAGTGGTATCTACCATGGGTGCCCTATGCTACGCCGAGCTGGGCACAACCATCGTTAAGTCAGGGGGAGACTACACTTACATCTTGGAGGTGTATGGCGAACTAGCGGCCTTTCTCAAGCTGTGGGTGGAGATGCTCATCATTCGGCCATCGTCACAGTATGTGGTGTCGCTGGTGTTTGCAACCTATCTTCTGAAACCTCTCTACCCAAACTGTGCCGTGCCCGACAGTGCTGCCAAGCTCATTGCCTGCCTGTGTCTTAGTGAGTGGGGGTTGTTGGCTGGGGTTACTTTACAAAGAGTAACAGTAGAAACATAATCTCTTCCTCTACTGAAAAATAACTTAGGATCCACATGTTTGATGCACTTAATTCCAGGTGATTATTCCCCTAATTCCTGATACTATTCTGTTTTGTATCTCCCACCTCCTGTAGCATCCCTGACGTTTGTAAACTGTATCAGTGTGAGAGCGGCTACCAAGGTCCAGGACTTGTTCACGGCCTCCAAGTTGCTAGCTCTGATCATCATTATCCTCTTTGGCTTCATACAGATTTTCACAGGTGAGTCACACTTACTCATGGACTGACAGAGCGAAGCAGGCACTAAAAACCCCAGATTGTCTTAATTTTTCAGGGATCTTTGTAATACTGTGCTGTGTAATAGTCATCTAGCGCTCTGTAGCCACAGGTCTACAAAATGACCAACAGCTGGGGTTTGCAGTTCAGTCTATATCATTACCTGGTATCATCTTGTCAACCTCTTGATCACAAGTTGATGCTCAACTGAGCAGGCAAAGAAAAGTTAGACTAGTTGGTCCGTATTAAGATTGACTTTTGTGAAACCTTAAAGTTAGACAGTGTGTTTGGTACATACATTTACAATACATTTAAAACTATTCATGACTTCAGTGTGAATGAAAAAGTGGTTCTTTTTTTGTGTGATGAGGCATGTGACAATATGAAAATTTCATAGCACAATGATCTTAGCTAAATTACCCCTAACCCTCATAATTCCAAACAATATTAAAATATACTTAAATGATCATTCAAACTCTACCACATGATGTGATTGCAAACATTTTATATACACACAGTAGTAGATATTTTAATGTTTCTTTCTTCCATTCCTTTTGTTTCCACTGTTGTTTAGCGCTATAATGATGGTAATAAAAGTGTCAACGTTTACACTATACTATTACAATTTGTAGGTTTCATATAGTTTCATTAATGTAACAAAGTAACATTAATGATTCATCCTTGTGTGACAATATCTACCAGCACTGAAACTGGGGTTTATTTATTATTATTTTTTGTCTTTAATGATCAACAAATTGTTGACCAACACTAATGAGCCCAACCAAGCAGACTGCCCTCCTTTCAGTTCGTTTGCACAGTTGCTGAGTCTGAACACAAGGCTCGTCTGTCTGCAGCCATGTAATTGAGTCTGAGTGAGTGTGCAGCCATGTGCACGTGTGTCCGTGTGGGTGTGCTTTGAACTTGCTGCTGAGCATAATTGGTTTCATACATGATGCATTTCTGCTATATGTATCTCACAGAATATGATAGAATAGATTTAGTGGAAGTGGAAAAATGATGAGACATTGATGCAAAAAAAGAGACAATTTCATCCATACCACTGCCCCTAAACATGGAGGGAGACGACCACTGCTCATTTGCTTCACATGTGAAATGTCAGCTCCACACTCCTTATGTATACTTTTCAAAACTGAAACAGCAAAGTGACTGAATCTGCTCCAGTCATGCGATTCAAAATGAAAGAGCGCGGGAAGAGAGGAGTGGAGAGAGAGTGGCCATCGTTCGCTCCATGCTACATCTGCTGCTCTCCCCCTCTTTTGCAAAGCCATGCACACCACCATTGTGCTCTACACTGTGTTACCATGGAAACTAGGCGGCGAGGCTCGCCGGCTGTTCAGAAGACTGAGTGAGAAAATAATGTGTGTATAACAGGCCTCATGGAAAGGAAAGTCATTACCATCTGAAAGCGACAGGTAGAGATGGGAGTCACGCAGAAGCCAGACTTCAAGCTGCCCTCGCTGATGATGCACTGGTTTCTGTAGCTGCTATGAGTAAATGGGTGGACTGAGGTTTACTTATCAAAAGATACAGTATTTCTGCTCACATTTAAATGGCAGCTGGGCAGGACATGTTTATGTTTATACATCAAAGGAAATGCTCAAACCAGGAGGTAAAGCGCTCAGATGAAGTATCAACTGGCTGCTGGTTGAAAATGTCAAGCCTGTCCAGGGGCAGGCAGCAACACACTGACCTTGACACAAGAAATAAAACAGTGGCAGCAGCCCTGAATGAGAATCCATTTAATGTCTATGAAACCACATAACAACTTTATGAAGTAAACCTGTTAGTGTGGAAAGAGGTTTCTCAGTTGTCCTTAACCTCTTATTTTTTTCTGCGTGCAGGTGATGTGCCGTACCTGGCACCAGACAAGGCATTTGAAGGCAGCAAATTGGGGGTTGACAACATTGTCTTGGCTTTGTACAGCGGTCTCTTTGCTTTTGGAGGCTGGTGAGGCATTTGTGACCTATATTGATGTAATTACAGACCAAAAATAGAAATTATTTGTTTGTTGCTTTTGCGGTGCAATATACAGTTATTCCAGTTTTTTTCTAATCCCTACAATAATGTTGAACTCTTTGTTTTTTTTCTAGGAATTACCTGAATTACGTGACCGAGGAGATGATCAATCCAGAGAGGTGACTTAAATGTGATGAAGGTTGTTTTGAGGATTGTACAGACTCTCCTGTAAATATTTGCTAACAATACCCTTATCCATGTCTGAGCTTGTTTATCCTCAGTTGATTGCATGGAAATACAGTATAGAGGGGCTGGACAAAGCAATGGGAATACCATACAATATAATGCAAACCAATGCAATAACAGAATCCACATCTCTCTGCCAGTCTTGACAAACACTGAACATTATGAACTAACACTGGATTGGATTGCTTTGCATGATTAGATGTTCCAGTTGTTTTGTCTACTCCTTGTGTGACGCCTCAAATATTCCATTTTATCGAGGTGCATGTGATGCTTATGCTTTTGAATATTATATTATCAATCACAACTGATCACTGTACACAACTAACCATATAAAAATATATGAAATTGTATGATCACATTGCATGAAACGGAACACAAACCTAATCACTGATCTCATAAATACAGTGGAAACAAATATTACAGACAACAGATTTTATTGGAAAATATGTTGTTAAGGGGTTCTTTTCTCAAGTGACCTCTGACCATTCCAACTGTAGGAACCTGCCCTTGGCTATCATCATATCCATGCCGATAGTGACGGTGGTGTATGTTCTGACCAACCTGGCTTACTTCACCACCATCTCTCCTCAAGTCATGGTCGAATCCGAGGCTGTTGCCGTGGTGAGCATCACACTTCTGTCAAAAAGTTATTAGATTTGGGTTGGTTGTTTTGTCTTTTTTTCACAAAACAAAACAGCTACCTTCATATATGTTACTGATTGTGCTGGTTTGCAGAGTTTTGGGGAGTACCATCTTGGTGTGATGTCGTGGCTGATTCCTGTCTTTGTGGGACTGTCCTGCTTTGGAGCTGTCAACGGATCCCTCTTCACCTCAGCACGGTGTGTGTTCACACATAGAGTAATAATATACAGCATAACATTTTGCCACTTTAATACAACAAATGTTGGAGTGTACATAAAGAAATTGTAGTAGAAAATAAAGTGTTCATTTGCAGTGGTTAACATGGAGTCGTGATGTTTTGAGAAAAGGATATTTGACTTTAGAGGTGAAGACTTAAAAAATGTTGGGAGGATGTCAAGTTTCATATGATAGGTGGGTAAGAGGGAGTTGTTCCTAAATCTGAAGCTGTTTGGATTGGTTGGACATTTTATCTAGGCCAACTATTTCATCACAAAATAACCATGAAAGAGCTTTCTCTCTTCTAGGTTATTCTATGCTGGAGCTCGAGAGGGTCAACTCCCTGCTGCTCTGGGATTGGTTCACACAGACCTTTTCACACCAGTGCCGTCCCTCATCTTCACAGTAAGACTCCGGCTACTTACATCTGACAATGATAATCAGTAATCCGTTACTTTTGTGTATTACAAATCATCACCATTAGAAAGTGCTCAAAGTGTCAAATTAAGTGTCAAATTAACCCAAGAACCTATGATGACATCCAATCAGGTTACGGTAAATAAAGATGCATTAAATCATGTATGATCTTTATTGATCTCAGTCTATCTTCAACCAAAGGTTTGCAACAGCATCAACAGGTTTCTGGCAGTTGAATATGGTTATTATCTAAAAAGAGGACTGATCATGTGTGTGTTTGTGCGTAATGTATGAAAGACTAATATCATCCTGTGTTCTTTTTCCCCTTATATCAGTGTTTGCTGTCCATGATGTATGCCATCTCCCAGGACATCTTCTCTGTCATCAATCTCTTCAGCTTCTTCACATGGCTGTGTGTTGGTATGGCCATTGCTGGTATGGTTTGGCTGCGCATCACCAAGCCCGACCTCAGAAGGCCCATTAAGGTAGAGCACCCATGTGTGAATGGTTGTATTTACAGGTGGTTGCACTACAGGATGATTTCACGAACAGACGTTGACTATGTCTTAGATATAACAAATAGTTAGACGTCAAATAGACGTCTAAATTATCCGTTGCACAAAGCAGTGTAGTTCTTGACTATCTTAAGCCTGACTGTGGTACAATGAATTCTGAGTAATCTAAGACATTTTAACAAAATAAAAAAAAATGGCTGACTGAGGCTCACTCTCTCCACAACAATGATAGCAAAGCACAAATTATGAGCCACGTTTTCCTGTTTTTCGATGTTGGGTGCTACTGCTCAGCGCAGGTGTCACTGACTGTTACCACGGTGACCTTGGTAAGACTGGCTCGACTCTACAGACCAGTCTGAGATATCTTTGTGAAACTGGCCCCTGATCTATCAGCTAAAAGTCCATTTAAAAGGATTTGAGACAAATGATGCAAGACCTTGGCTCAAACTGAACCTCAGCCAGTTTCTCTGTCTGCCTCAAACATAAACATGTCTCCTGGTTTTATAAAGCTTTCACCTTTTTTATGAAACAACTATTGTATCACTGCTGTTGTTATTAGTTGGAAGTGGAACAATACTGTGATTTCAGGATGGGAGTGGTGTTTGCATGAATACATGGCTCTTTGTTTCTGGTTCATCATGGGAATATTACTTTAGTTGACCAAAGTCTTTCATCTCTCCTTTGAGCCTGAGTGCTCTCAGCCCATTTGTTTTATAAGAAAGAAATGGAGCGTTCCTCTTTATGTGTAAACCCTTCATGAAACAAGACAGTTTTTTACATCTAAATTTAACTTCTGTCAGAACAACAATGCATTTCTCCTCATAACCTCGTGATGATCAATAATGTAAGTACTGCAAGATTCTCAGAATGTTCAAACTGATCAAAGTCTAACAATGCCTGTTAATAATACCTGGCAAAATGTAATAAAAGCACAGATGACAATATAATCACATTATTACAATAATAATAATAATCATGATGGTTGTTATTCACAAAAGGATGTAACCGTTTTAACCGGTGGTGAAAGAAAATGCCACCACAACGTGAATAGCCATCATAACATACTTAAAGTAGCAAAAGTAAAAGTACTCATTATGTAGAATGGCTCATTTCAGAATACTGTATATCATATAATTCAATTATAATTACTGATGCATTAATGTGGACATCACATTTAATGTTGGAGATGATAAACTTTATATACTGCTGGGGAACTTGTGAATTCCTCCCTGGGGATAAATAAAGTCTTAAAAAACAGATCATAAGATTTTTTTGTTGATTATATTTTGTATCATAAATCTGAATCTGCAAAAATAACCAGTGAAGTTGGGAAATAACTGTAGTGCAATAAAAAGCACAATTTTTCCTACTAAGTTTTAAAAGTAGCAACAAAACAGCAAAAAGTGGAATTACTCAAGTTAAGTACAAGAAGAGAATTGTTACTTTCTTCTGCTGGTTCTAACTGGGGATGTGATAATATATGCAAAAAAGGCAATAAGGCAACTTTAACTACTTATTGTACCATTATCAACTCTCTTATAACATCATCAGGTAAAGTTGCAAATATTAAGAACTCTGTTATTGTTGCATGTTTTTACATGAGTAAAGTTCAGTACATGATATTTACAGGGAGGGATTCATATTTAATTTTGAGAGTTGTCATAAAATCAAAGGCACCAATTTTATATGAAAAGACATATTACCTGAAATTCAGTTCTCTAGTCACTTTGCAGAATTATAACGATAATAATAGTATTTTATGCTCTGTCCTCTTTTCTTAACTAGAACAAACGGCTTCATCTGTTGTTTTCTCTCTGTAGGTGTATCTCTTCATCCCCGTGACTTTCGTTTTGGGCTGTGTCTTCATGATCGTCGTGTCCTTCTGGGCAGCTCCATTTGAGTGCCTGGTAGGCAGCAGCATTATTCTCACAGGCATCCCAGCATACCTACTGGGCTACAAGTGGAAGAAACCCCATGTGGTCAAGAAGATGCTGGGTGAGTGTGACATTTTTTGTTTTTTCATAGTGTCTTTGTCTGTTTTTGTTCAAGCGAGGCGGGAGACGCTTTCATTACAGTTTGTTATGTGAGAATATCTGCTCGAGTGCTGCCATGGGCACTGATACATTCGTTTGTTTATAAAGTCTGTGTGAAGGACTCAAACCAAGGTGTTGAGCCGATGTTTAATAAGATCTGTCAGCATTTGATCTGCAGTACCCGAGCTAAAAGAAAACAGACGTGTCTAATGTGACGAGCTGTTTCTCCTCAGAAATCTTCACCATGTTCTGTCAGAAGATCTTCATGTCTGTTCCTGAGGAGAGGGGGCAACACGAGGCGGCTGAGTAACGCTGGACAGACTGAACCAGATGCAGGACTGAGTCAATATTTTTATCTGAACAATTCTTGACATGTTTACATTCATTCATTTGTAATTCGGCTCCAGCAACTTCTTTTTTATTTTTAAAAAAAATATTTTTACCTTTATCAAACAATGCAGGTAACTGTGGAACAAATTGGTATATACTGTACAAGTGTACAAGAGCAGCCCGGCACTCTTGGTAAAGGAGGGTTTGATGTGTGTATGCTCTTGTGAACAAACTCTTTAGGCATATTTGATGAACACTACATGGTGTTTAAAATATCAAAATTTTTGAAATTGAGACGCTGCTTTTATTCTGAATCTGTTTCACAGTTGTATCTCCGTTAATGCTAGAACATGCTTATATGTTGCATGCTAGTTAGTTAATGGGGAGTCGTGCGCTGATCTTGATGCCAGACACATAATTAATTGTATACTGAAAACAGCAGCAGAAGCTCCAGACAATATATTCTAGTGGCCTAAAACAACAAGTTTATTGTTTGCCTGAAGTGTACAAATGAGTAGTTTAATGAGACAAATAAAAAAAATTAACTTTCTTTACTTTTGCTAAACACTAACAACCAAAACTAGACATAGTTTATTATAGTTTACAGTTTTATAAAATCAACTCTATGCTATGGTTAATGATGAGTGGATTAATTTCAGTTAAAAGAAACAATCAGTGCAGTGTATTAAAAAGGTCAGGGTTGGAAGGAGCGGTTCACTAACATAACACTGATTAAATTATACACATAGGCTACTAATATCTGTGTTCATTAGATATTGATTTCTATATTTGTATTTTTTTGTATTCATTCATAAAATGAATCCACAGCACAATCTTAAAGCACAAACTGAAGTGAGATGAAGTGTATGTAATGTTTCCTTATGATGTGTTGCTGTGAAGCAGGTCTGTTTCCTGTATCATTTCATTCTCACTGTCAGCGCTCCATACGTGATGATATTTGACAAAATGACAGTGGATACCAGCATCTGTCTGTGAGGCATTATTATAGGAAACTGAAGATCTGAATAGATGTCATTCTAGTGGCTGTATTTAGTAAATTACATTGTAGTGTTAGTGTTTTGTATTGGGTGTATGTATTATCTGTGCCGGCCGTGTCAGTGCTGATATTCCAGTTTTTTTTTTTGTTTTTGTTTTATTGTGTCTGTAAGACCAAAATGAATGTTGCTCATTTTTAAAATAGGAATTGTACATATAAAAAACCCAACTTTTAAACTGAATATCTGAGGCTTTCCCAGAGTTATTGGAAGCACTTTCCCAGTCCGCTCAAGCTCCCAGAGGATAAAAGTCTAGAATAGAGCGACAGTCCCTTTAAACATCAACCAGTGGTGGTAACAGAGAGACACTCCTCCACCATGAATGGGAAATACTGATAGAAAACTACGTCCGACATCTTTGTTCTCGCTCTTCAACCATCTTCTGCTGATGGGAACAGCAAATTGGACAATGATCAATCAAAGGTTAAAACACCACCACGGAAATGAAATGAATTTACATGTAAAAGGGAGAGGGATGGACATCCCTATAGCGGCTAATGTTTACAACAGATTTTAAGAAAAAGAAGTTGATATGAAGGTTGATAAAGGCACAGTTTTTAAAGTAAAGCACCATTTTCACCTCATGATTTTTTAAAATCTTCATCACAGTCAGAGCAAACCAACAAACAGCCCAATGCTGGAAGAATCAAAACCTATGTGAAATGAATCTGATTCAAACAGGGAGCACAAGTGTCTAAAAGCACACAGTATATTATTGATTGAGACTATGAAGATACACGGTTTCTGTTGGCCTCATCGTACAATTTATGTCATGCACAACATACTTGGTCTGTGGATACAAAGCATTACTATATGTATGAATTGATAATGCCTTTAATGAATTGTTATGGAGAGAAAAAGAACTCTAATGGCATATTTTTAATCTTAAAACCTGAAAGTACCTATGTCAGTTATTGTAACTGTTGTATGTCAGTGACCATGGCAGGTACATGTAATAATAAAAAATATTTTTGTTCAAATTTTGGTCTGTGTTTTGTACAGAGGATGAAAAATCTCAACTAATGTTCCTCTGAGAGGTGAAAATCTGATTCCCCACTGCTGCATAAATGCAGTGTCCTAATATACTTGCATCAGTTAACGAAAGGCCAGCTGCAGCCTCTCTGGAGATAACACTTTCAAATAGAACAAGCAATCCCAAAACACAACGATAGCTCCGATCCAAATGAGGATGTTTCACAAGCACAATTTTCTCAAAATGTCGTCCGATGGCGTTATCGCCTCAGCCATCAAGTGTCTGGGCCGTGATCTGTATGAAATGCTCTGTCTCTTCTTGTTTGTCTTGTCTTGTTTGTTGGCTGTCAGACAATGATGCTGCTGATGCCTGTACTGTCAGGAGAGTTCATATCCGCCTGAGGAGGAAATGAGAGGGTCTGATGGCTACTGATGGAACCAGTATCGCAGCTCCTGGAGACAATATTAGTGATCGGAGATTGGGCAGGCAATGAGCCAATACTGCACAAGTGACATATGGAATATTTTGATACCTTCTAGAAAAAGTATGGCAACTGAACAGGGACTTGAATGGTTCATTTAATTGGTGCAATAATAAAGCTAAAGCCCAGCTTCAGTGGTTTCAACAGTTTTTAGAGTCGAATCTAATATCAAAGCAGGTCTGCAGGACTTTTGTTATCGTTACGGAGAGTACACATACGAAACCATAAATCAGGAGTCAGACAGTCAGATCACACCGAAACACACTATGAAATATTTTCTTAAGTAAGCTATCTGCTTTGTGAAATAACCCCTGAGCAAAACTATCAATGAAACATGGAGTTTCAATTATTTATATCTAGCAGAGGTGCAACTGACTCAACTTCACAGCAAACACATCATCAGCATCAATCTGTACACATAATTTAGTTGTTTGTATTGAGCCTTCACAATCTATTTTTCATAAAACAAGAAGAATTCTGCAAGTGGGGTGAAATAAATCGACTTGTCCCCTGAGCGTTTTGCCTGATGTTCTCGAAATAAAAGCATATAGTCTGAAGAAATAGACAGTTGATGTTCAGATATTATTTGAACAAGTTGTTATCCTTTGGTAAAGTTTTTTGGCTTCTTTCAAGACAAAACATTATCACAATTGCTGGGCTCATCAAACGACTTTTGCACATTTAATGCTCAGTTTTAGGACACTCCTTGGTTTGGGGATTCATTAGACTCATCAGGAAATAGTATGTGTTTCCCTATCATGTATCTAATTATTGTTCTATAGTTCTGAAAAAAAGTATGAAGAGTAAATGTTTAATTGTTTTTGACGTAGAACAAGAGACTTACCAGACATAACCAGCAGATGGAGATAGAGGAACATCAATAGGAGTAGTGAGGTCCTGCTGTCATACATTTGAAATTAAACACAATAGTGTTTGTATGTAAAACATTATACAACATCTGTCTTTAAAGCTAGGTGCAGTATAAAATCTATCATTTGTTCCTTTCCATTTAAAGGGTAGTCAGTTCACATGATGTAACTTCTCCAGTGCTCTTGAGTTTTTTTTTTCTCTTCTTTTTTTATAGCACCAAATCATAATATACGTTATCTCACAGCATGTTACAGGGTAGGGTCGAGATCTTACTTTATTATAGGGAGAAACCCAACGGTTCCCACAAAGAGCAGCACCTGGCGACATGGGGGCTGAAAAACTCCCTTTTAACAGGAAGAAATCTCTAACTGAACTGGGGTTGGGTGTGTGGGGGGTGGGGGGTTGTTGGGTTTGAGAGGACAAAGACGGGGGTGGGGGAGGAGAGAGAGAGAGAGAGACCATGGAGAGCAGTATACACTGTTGATAGTTGATTGTAACGGTGAAAATAATAACAGTTGTACCCATAGTTAATGGTGTTATCATATCTGCTGTTAATCGTTCATTTTATAGTGGAGTTCTTCTCATATTATTTTATTTCAGTTTTTACATTTATTTAATCAGACTACTTCCCTATTTTTTTTTACCAAGACTGCCCTGTTCACACATTCACATCTGGAAGCTCAGCTGCCCTAAAACCACAGTTATGGGTTGAGAGCCTTGCACAAGGGCAACTCGGTAGTGTTAATGATGGTCACGCAAGGGCCCCTGATCTCCTCTATTATCATCAAAACACTTCACAGTGAGTCTAACTGAAGTCATTAAACTGTAAAGAACTGAGTCTGTCTTCAGTCTGTGAGTACAGGAGAACTGGAGGGGTTTTGGTGAGTTTTATGAATCATCTCTAGGGGGCACTGCGTCATCATCATCATCATCATCATCATGGAGAGAGAGAGAGAGAGAGAGAGAAGGAGAGAGATAAGGAGAGAGAGAGCTGAGGGGGAGGGATGATAGATTCCATTTCTATTCTACCTTTAATCCAACTGTGAAATTCGTAAGTAAAAGGCAGTGCTTTTTTTCTCCTCAGGTAGTTCTCTGAAAGACTGTGTACTGCTGCATCAACTGCGTTTCATCATCACACCACTGCCAAAAAACATGGCCAGCGGGCAGAAAAATATTGCTTGATTTACTATATTAATCATGTCTGGATTTAAAAAAGAAAAAAAAAGGAAAAAAGAAAAAGAAAGAAAGAAAAATCTGTGAAAAGGTTAAAGTTCATTGAGTGAATGTACACCAGGAAGCCCAAACTTCTCACCTAATGAGCCACGTGACCGCAGTCACATTAACTTCTGCAACATCAAAGATAATTCTCCTAATTAACCTCAGACACATGCAGGGGGAATGCAAAGTTATGTTTATAGGCTCCTGCAGCTATCAGGTGCTACGCATCAAATTACTAATGAATGTGTTGAGACTCAGTAATGTAAACCACAGCGACACAATCCAAATAAGTAGAGACGTGCACGTCCACTTCTCCACTTTAAACATTTTTATTACAGACAAAAGAAAACAAAAGAAATATCTGTGACACAAAATGAATCTAATGCTGGTACACTGGTATTGCACCAACGAAAATTTCTGAAAAAATATTTATTATTCTAATAATGTTGTTTGAGCAATAATAATAATAATAATAATAATAATAATAATAATAATAATAATAATAATGCACCCTGATGAAATTAAGCCAAAATGTTACTTCATATCATTCATAAATAGATGTGAAACCTGCAACCAAATTAAATAGAATGACCATATTGTAAAACATGATATTCAACAAAACAAAATGGGTTCTCTTATCACTGGCTTTACAAATTAAAGAAGTACATTTGGCAGGTTTATACACAAAAAAATTATAATATCTACCCCCATCACCGTTCCTCTGAAACGCAAATCCTGCTACAGTGAAAAAACAAAATATCTTAAGATTTTTTTTCTTCACAAAAAATGATAAAGATGAGTTCAACACAATTCTAAAACACCTAATAAAACTAGTCAAAAACTTTAAAACCCACTGTTATGTTTTTTTTTTCTTTAGTAACATTTCACATTTAGCAACTTTTTTTTATTCACCTGTACAAGTGGTGTGAGGACTAAGGGATGGTGGGTGGGGTTACAGGTGGGGAGGGCGGTCCTTATTGACCAGGAGGAGGAGGAGCTAAAAGGAGAGGTTTCAATCTTTGACCTCTACAGTTTTGTAACGTCCTGAGGCCGTGTGTAGAGAGTGACACTCTCTATCAGAGCTCCGCCACTTTAAGGAGGAAATGGAGCGTTTTTCAGTCTTTGCGTTTCTCTTTCGACTGCAGAGAAACGAGACCAGTGAACACAGTTTCAACACAAGTTTTAGTGTGTGTATTCCCTCACTGAATCCGCCTGCACGAAAATCACAAAACCAAACAAAAAGAATGTTTAACGGGGAAAAAAAAAAAAATGAAAGCAAGGGACTGCAGCTAAATACACACATAAGAGGGATCCATTTTGGTGATATTTACAATCACTCTGTGACAAATAAAGGAGATGAGGGAGTCCTTTACTAGGGGCAAGGATGATTTACAAATGTCTTATGTGTTTGTGACTATCTTCATTAAAATTTTTCTTTGCTTTTACTCAGTCAGGGTGCTCCAGTCAGTCCTGAAGTATATCCACCCCTGCTGAGGTGACTATATCCTAGTTTCCTGCATTAGCTTTTCTACCCAAGACCCCTACACTCTGAGTCTGCTTAGAGCATTTCATCTCCCCAATCAGGGCAGTCCATGGCAAACACAGAGTAATGGAGTGAAGAGGGAAAAAAAAAAGCATCTTTAAAAAATTCAAAACAAGATGAGAAGACGTTTTCTTTTGGTCTTCATTTCCAGTATGTTGGCATGAGCTTAAAGCTCACTGCCCCCGCAAAAAAATGGAAAGTTCACTGATAAGGAAAAAAAAAAAAGCAAGAGAAGTGCCTCAGGCTTCTGGCCGATCTAAGTGCTTGGCAAATAGGTGAAGTTACTGTAGCAGTCTTTGGGATTTTCAAAATCCATCAGAAAAAAAGGAAAAACAAAAATGATGTTGAAGCAGATACATCAATGACGTTGTTGTTATGTTGGAAAGCTCCCTGGAGTCTGACATTTGGAGGTCTTTCAACTTCAAGTGAGGTAGAGAGGCTTGTCCCGGGCTCCCATGCCACTGCTGAGGAAGAAGAAACATGTATTAATGTATGTCTGAATATATGGATACATGTGAATGCAATGATATTCTGACTACATGTATTTCTGTATTCCACCATGAAATCCCAGCGAGACTATGAAATCTTTTTCAAGGAAGGCCTGGCTCCAAAACAAACATAAAAGCTGCCGACAGACAACATGCATCAATAAGCATGAAGACAAATACAAAAGTCAAAATTTGCAGATCACTTGGTACTTGAAATGTCAAATACAAAGTCTGCTCTCCAGTTATCTTTACTGGCACACTGGAAATAATTCAGTACCCTCCAAAACACCAAACTACAATGATCTGACACTGAGGGAGAGGGTTTAAGCAAAGACTCAGTATACTTCAAAGAGCGTCAAACGTGATTTGACCCAGGCGTGATCCTATTTGACATACAGATG